TTGATATTGCAGAGACAAAGAAGGGATTCGAAATCTTTCATGGCTCCTTGAGGTTTCATTTCTTGAGAACCCCAGGATTTTTCAAGAATAAATAGAGAGAAGAGAGGAGAGATATTTAAAGGACTAATCTTCGAAAGTTTGATATAAATGAATCTCTTTCGAAAGAAAGACCTATTTGTGTTTGAGGCTAAGTTGTTGATTAAAATCAAAGTCAAAGTCAACATTTAATTTTAATCACATATTTTATAGGATTCACAATTTTTGAATCACACATTTTATCATTTTTTATCAAAATGTGATTTTTAATGATGCCATTGTGTACATATTTAACAAATAGCGAGATCGTAATAACTATTTTAGTAAATATTTAAATAAGTCCATATTTGATAGGGATTCAAATTTTAATTAAAGTTAAAATCAAAAATTAACTTCAATCATACATTTCATCAACTTTTATCAAAATATACTAAATTTTTTTAATCTAAACTAAATAGGGACTATTAAAAAACAAAACTACAATTCTTAATAAACAAATATTTTTTCATTTAATTCATCTTATATTTAGCCCCATTTGGTGGAAACAAAAATCATAATTTTAGTATATTTTGATAAAATTGATGGAATATAGGTTGAAATGTTGTAAATCCCATAAAATATATGATTAAAAATAATTATTTGTTGTAAATAATACAATTATTAGTGAATAACAATTATGCCCCTACAATCCTTGTTATTATTACAATTGTATCTCTAATTCTTCTCTAAAAAAGAGCTTTGGTTCTCAATATAATACACACAACTTTATTGATTTGTCTAGTTTCTTCTCATTTTTTCTTTATTTTATAACACATTATCAGCGCGAAAACTCAATTTTTCAAAATTTAGTAAGAATAATAATATTCACACAACAATTTTTTATATCTACATAACATTTTAATTACAAGAAAGGTTTTCAATATTTGATCGCTTATACTTTTATTCTAAACCTTTTTTCTTGTCACATTTCATTTTTAACCGTCATTTAATTAATATATTTTACCTCTAACAACAATTTTCATCCAAATATTATACTAAGTTGCATCGAAAATACTGGCAAATATTTTGTTTAACTTTTTTATTAGTTATTTATTTCAATTATTTAAAAATACGGAAGATAAATATGTCTGTTGGCCCTCGTAACAAACATTTTGGATAAAAATCATCTCTATAGATAATATGTGAAATTTAATAGAGGGTCGATGACAAAAATTAAAAAAAGAAAAAAATTGAGAACATAAGCATAAAAATAAGAAAACTTTAAGGGTATTCATTGTAATTAAAATGTGTCATAGTTTACAAAAGTTGTGGAGTAAATATATTTACCCATTTAGTAAAGGTAGTATTTTTTTGTAAGCATAGTCACATGTATCGAAATTAATTTGGTTATGTGTGAATTTTTTTTAACACGTGCATGGTAATTGTGCATATTTGTGTTGGTTTATGTAATTAAGCAAATATATTTAGGTTTTATGCGTAGCTTCAAAATGTCATATCCTGTTTCCGTAATCTGAAATCATTTAGTTTTATGCTTAGTTTCACTTCCTGAATTCATAATTGTAGTTTACACATTAAATTATTGGTTTGCATCTACTGCTTTCCACTCTCAATGTTCCTGTTTCATGTCTTGAAAATCATGATTGGGGTTTGCATATCCTATTTGTATTAATCAATGATGAAACCAAATAAATTCACTTTTATTATGATTATTAGATACTCTTTTGCACACTATTAAAATTAATATATTCAGAAGATTGTTAATTACTTTTGAAGGGCAAGATATAATTTTCAATATTTCAGAAGAATATTGACATATTGCTTTAGAATAAATAATAGTAAAATACAATATGCTCTTGAAGTGGCACATATTTCAAAATAAATATAATTTTGAATTAGTATTTATCCCTGAAGAAAAACATACTACTTATGTTATATGGACAGTCTTCTATGATTATATCATGATTAATCATATTTTTAAGAATTAACTATTTCTTTTATTTTGTTGAATAGCTATTCAACTGAAAAATATTGTCTTGAACCGAGGTTCAATTGCTGGATGTATCATTATTTAGTACGACTAGTTGGACTATCACTAGCAATAATGATGTGAAATTGAGAACTAAAACATTCAAAGAAAAAGTAGAAGATTTTTCAATCCAATCAATTCATATATAATGTTTGTTCTCTTTATTGAAAATTGATCATTAATCATCATTAGCTAAAATGAGAATTGAATTTCTTATATTTCTAAAATTAATTACAATGATATATGGAACCTTGTCACCCTTTGCATTGACCATCTAGATATTATTTGTATCCAATAGTTTTAATACATATACTAGATAATTACAAAGTATTCACAACTTAAAGTTTACGAAATTACTGTTCAAAAGTTAAATGATAAGTATAATTTTTAGATTATATATAATCAAGATAATATATCTTGTTAATGTTAGTGAACTTAAATCTTGACATTTTAATAAGTGTTAATTGGGATGACAATAAAATAGTTTAGCACTATTATTTGTTAAGTGCCTACAAATTAATTTATAAATCATTACTATTGATAATAAAGTGCTTCATAGTTCTTTCTAGGGAATGCTGTTAGCATCATGTTAACATTAAAATTTCTCCTTCATATTTGGCTTGTGATCAAAGCCTAATTTTCCATCTAATTATTTTGAATAGTGCCATATATGTACAATTGATTCACCACAATGCATGGAGTTGAAAGTAAATATTGTTGAGAATAAATGCGTTGTTTTATAATGTAGTTTGCTGATTATCAATTAGGTTGGATAATTCTTAGCGTTAGGGGTGAGAAATTAAGGAGCTGAAAATGTACTGCATCATTATATTATTTAGACACTTGTAAAAGACAATTTGAATCTGAAGTTTGAAAAATATTTCGCTCACATGCATTTGCTGACAAAAGAGATTAACAATATCTCATACACTAGTTTTAAGTATCCCAACTCAAATTGACCCTTAGAATGACAATTCGTCAACATTATATTTAATATATCAATAACACACTTGAAGCATGATGACATTTGATTCCAAATAAATTCTCTTAAAATAATAATAATAATAATAAAATAAAATTGGAGCGGATAAGGAAGAATGTCTCATATAGGAAACGGATATTCTTGAAAAATATATAGACATAACTAATTATAAAACTCCAGAAAAAGTTAAAATATTTGAAATATTAAAAGTAGAGACATCTCAATAAGTTATATCATTATTAAAAAAACAATTGAATCAAAATAGAAAAAAGTTGTCGACAACACTTTTGCACATGATGTATCGCTTTATATTATGAATATCGAGGAATCGAGATAAATTCATCAAAGCGAAGTAATGATTGACCACTAAAGAATACAATCCTAGTAAATTCAAATTTTCTAGGGAAAATTGAAGCATCTAGACCTATAGTTAGAAAGGTTGATGGAATTTTATATGAAGATAATAACGTTTGAAAGCTATAATAAGGCGGTATGAAACAAACTTCATCAAAAACTAATTTAACAATTTTGTTTGAAGATAATATAGCTTGTATTGCACAATTTAATGGAGACTATACCAAAAGGATTAGGACGAAGTATATTTCTCCCAAATTACTTCATACACGAGTTTTAGAAGCATAGGGACATCGACATTCAACAAATTCACTCGAATGATGATGTGACTGATTTATTCACAAAAGCATTATCGATACCTACATTTAAGAAATTGGTTTATGAGATTGAGATGCATCGCCTCAGAGATTTGAAGTACCAACATCGGGGAATAGTTGTACAGTTTTTCGTTCACTTAGATTTTATCTTATTAAATTTTTATAGCAATATTTTAATGAGGTGTCATTTATTTTTAATACTTCAAACTAAATTGTACTCTTTTTCTTTCATTTGATTTTTTATCCCATTGATTTTTATAAAAAAAAGATTTTAACGAGACATATATTTTATAATGTGTCATTCAAGGAAAAATGTTGTAAATAATATGATCAATAGTGAATAACAATTATACTCTTGCAGTCTTAATTATTATTATCATTGTATATGAAGCTTTGATTTTCAATATAATACACAAAATTCTATTAATTTCTTTAGTTTCTTCTCTATTTATCTCTATTTTATAACCTTGATTTTAATTTAAAGTTTTAATTGTACCAAAAAGGGGTAATAACAAAAAAGGTAATTAGCACAAAACGTCTCCACCTTTTAAATTTATTGTCGAAAACATCATTACCTTTCATTTTTTGACATTTTTGCCCATACCTTCCACATTTCTTTGCACAGAAGGTCATTTTGACGATTTTATTCTCCATTAAAATGGAACAAAAAGAAAAGAAAAGAAAAAATAAAAAATTAATTGCAATCATAGTCCCAAATCTTTTTAAAATTTATAAATCAGTTATGAGGAAACTTGAATGTACATGAAAATAATCAAGAAATGGAGAAATTTTTTAATCATAACCAATGGAAATAAAAAAATTTTGAAGATTACATGATTTTTGCCTCAAGTCTTCCATCTACTCTTCACAAAATAAAAATTGAGATTTATGCTTACCCATTTTTTAAGATTTTCAATTTCATTGGCTATGGTTCAAAAATTTCTCTATTTCTTGATTATTTCTCTGTACAATCAAGTTTCCTTTTTTTTTTTGGGTAATTTTAAAATTTTTTAGTTCACAATAAATTGTGATCGATTTGTATTTTTTTTTTTTGAAAACTTGGGACTATTATTGCAATTAATTCTTTATTTCTCTTTTTGTTTTATTTAAATGGAGAGTAAAATTGTTAAAAATAAATGAAAAGGACCTTTTGCATAAAGAAATATAAAAGATAGAGATGAAAATGTCAAAAAATGAAAGATTAGGACGTTTTTCCCAATAAATTTGAAAAACAGTGACGTTTTGTGCCGATTGCCTGACAAAAAATGTAAAGTTTGACTCGGACATAATCCAGCGAAGCCATTTCCGCGTTGTCCCACCCGTTTATAAGAGAACTAGCTCCTGCTCCAATGGCGATTCGCATCGTCATCATGAACTTCTTCCTCAAATTCACTTTCTCTTTCTACACCTATCTCTCTCTAGTATCCGCCTTCTCTCCCCTCGATCACTACTTAATCAATTGCGGATCTGCTGACCCCGTCGCCACCGATCTCTACCGTCGAATCTTCAAAGGCGATTCCGTGTCCGGTCACCTGGTCTCAATTCGGGCGAGTCGGGTTTTTAACGCAGACCCATCTTCTTATTCTTCTTGTGGACTGTATCGAACTGCCAGAGCCTTCAATCGACCCTTACACTACGCGTTTCCTATTAAAGACCCTGGAACCCACCATTTGGTACGGCTTCATTTTTATCCGTTCAATTCGAGTTATTTTTCTGAAGCACAATTTCATGTTCTAGCTAATGGGTTTTTGTTGTTACACAATTTTCGTATCGTGGAAAGCGAAAATCTGCCTGTAATTAAAGAATTTATAATTCCGGTTGATTCTGAGAAGCTCAAAGTTACTTTTGTTCCGTTGGATAATTCGAAATTCGCTGTTGTGAATGCGATAGAAGTGATTTCTGCTCCAAGAGATTTGGTTGCTGACCTCGCACAATATGTAGATTCTGAGAAAAATGAGCAGATTAGTGGTTTGTTGAAAAATGGTCTTGAAACAGTGCATAGAGTCAATGTAGGAGGCTTTAAGGTGACGCCGTTTAATGATTCCTTTTGGAGGACTTGGGTTACAGATGACAAGTACTTGAAATCGGGTGATGTGATGGAAAAAATTCGATTTGGGGGTCGGATCAATTACCAATTGGGTGGGGCAAGTCGAGAAGTAGGCCCTGATAATGTTTACAACACTGCCCGAGTGATAAAGAGCTCAAATGGTACAATTCCTAACACGAATATTAAGTGGGTATTTGAAGTAGAGAAGGGTTACAGGTATATGATTCGGATGCATTTCTGTGATATAGTTAGTGTTGCAACCGGCATGCTTTACTTCAATGTGTATGTGAATGACAATTTAGCATATGAGAATTTGGACTTGTCATACATTACAAATAGACTGTTGGCTTCGCCATTTTATGCTGATTTTGTGGTTGATGAGGACAATTCCGGAGTTTTGACTGTAAGCGTGGGACCGTCCAATATGAGCCTCCCTCGTGCTGCAGATGCCATTTTAAATGGGATTGAAGTATTGAAGATGAACAATTCGATGGGTAGTTTTGATGGAGAGGTTTGCACAGAGTTTGTATTGAGGAGTTGGAGAAGGGGAAATGCTGGTGTTTTAGTTCCTTTAGTAGCTGTTATATTCTTGTTGCTAATTGCATCCGTGTTCTTGCAAAGGAGAAGGAATTGGTTTGGGGATTCTGTGGCATGGTCAAGGTTACCTGTGGATGTTTCAGAAGTTAATTTGAAGTGTGGCAATCAGTTCTCATCTGGTAAGGCTTGATGCTTTGAAGAATCAATATGTCGACCTCATAATACTTATACATGTGAAGTTTTTGTGATAATTTTTATTTAACCTCCAAAATCAGTTTATTAAGTGTGCTGTTGTCTTGTGCTGTAAGTAAATTTATTTCACATATAAAAATTGCAGTCTGGTAACTCTGATAATTTGGACACTCTCAGTATCTGTTTTCTTGATCCTTGTGTAGTTAAGAAAAGGCATGTAAATTGAATGTGGTATGCAGAGATTATGATCATGATCAGACAAGACTACGTTTTTCTCTGATGTAATAAAATGATTCTCACTATTTGAAGTTCAACAAAGCATAGAGATCTTAATGTGCAAATAAAACCATGTATTTTGGGTACTAGGGCCCATTTACCATTTTATGTCTATAGCTGATTTTTACTTGTTTGTGATTCTTGGCTACTTCGGTCTTCTTGCATCTGGCATTTTGCCCAACATCAAATAGTGTTGATGTAAAAAATGTCAACGAACGGGGATTTGATCATAAAGCTTCTATAATCCCAGGCCATGTGATGAAATAGTGTCGCCTCTTGCTGTAACATTTTTTGTTACCTTACCTGGTTTTCAGATTTCTTGACTTTTAAGCTTGTTACTTAATCATTTAGTTTAATTAGTATACTACAAAGTAATCAGCTTTTACATTACCTGCATTTGCATTCTAAATCTTATGAGGATCTTGATGTGACCTTGTTTGATGAACTCTTTTGTGGATTAGGATCATCCCCAGAGTGATCTTGGGCATAAATCTAACTTCGAGAGCTCTTGTTTTCTTGAAATTTAAGAACTTCAAGAGGAATATTAATCAAGATGTCGGAGCATAAAAATTAGTGATTTTCAACTTCATTCCTTCTAGTTATTTTTTTGGGAGCAACCTCTTGCAGGTAAGAGGTAATGGATGATGATAACCAAGTCTAGACTAGAATGAGATTGACACCACCATACTAGAATACAAGAAGATTCCTTCGATGAACTAAATAGTTTGTTATTATGACGTTGAACTAGCTCAAGGCCTTTCTCCTGATTCTGGTGACAGAGAAGTAGGATTTTAGGGCTGTCCTTATTTAGTTTTAAGGTTGCAAAGACAACTAGATAATGAAGTTTTGAAATGTGTGGTTGAAAAGTTGTGGGATCCACGAAAGATGTGATTAATATTGATTATTTGACTTTGACTTAGATTAAAATCGAATTTTAATCCGTACCAAACAAACGCTCAATACCATAGACTCTTTTTTGGCACTGTTAGGGTGAAATTTGAATTGCGAGAAGATTTCTTTGGTGATGTGAAGTCGAATTAAATATAATCAATCTTGTTTTTGCTAATCGGAAATCAGGAAAAAGGAACATAAAAATGTGAGAAACTATCATCCCTACAGACCTCCTCTAATGGAAAGAACTCCACCGCCAGCCAAACACCACGGAATATTGAAAAAGTAATATCATATGAATTTTCTTTACATGGAACTTTGGAAAGTTGTTTCTGAATTTGATTGCAAGAATCGTTTGTTTGGCATACACTCACCTACTGAATGGTCCCTAAAGTATGCTGGTTCATATAACTGGAGTTGTATTCATTAGGTGTAAGGTTGAATCTTCGTCCTACTTATGAAGACTCGACTAAGGATTCATAGACAGATTTTAGGGAAACCTATTGATGCCCGTATTTAAAGTGATTGCCCAACCTGTTATACATGTAACTCGAGAATATCATTGATAACTTATTCTACACTTCGGGGCTGGAAAAAATGCACCTCCTGGCAGAAAACTTGCCTAAGTCTTCTAACTAATCCTCGTTAAGGGATTTAATTTGTATTCAGTCCAACTACCAAACTCGTAAAGTCCAATGTTATATCTTGCAATCTCTTCCTATCATGATTGGGTATTTTGCATGATGTGGTAGCTTTTGCTCTAGTTTCCTCTCTGAAATCGAACCTAATTCTGTTACCACCGTATTATGTCACTGTCCTACCACTAAAAGCTTATAAAGAGCAGAAATTTGAATCAAGCTTCATCAGCACATTGACTTCAAGATCTGTTGACTCATCACAAGCCGACCATCATCAGAATTCTTAACTGCAATATGTAAACCGACCCAAATTCAACAGACCTATTGAATTTTACACGTGACTATTTATAGATAGAAAAATACTTCTCAAATCGATATACAGAATCCCTTAATTAAAAATGCGATAAGACTTCCCTTTATGAGCATAAGCCAAATATTACGAACCAAATATCATTTTAACATCTTTGCAATAGCCCAACATCTTCATCTCCTCCCAATTCATTGATTTGGACACCATGACATCGTATTCTCCCTTATAATCTTTGTCACTTTCCCCATATTTTCTCCATGCATGTCCACGAAATCAAGTAGCCATGGGTGAATTTAGTGTGGGAGTGGGGTCAGCTGCTCCCACTCTAAATTTCAATTCCAAGACCTTAAACTAGGATTTTTCAAGATTTTGTGGATTTTCAAATAATCCTTATAGTTTTCAATTTCGTTCCCACAATCAAAATTTCGTGAAATTTGTTCACCCAACTCTTTTATCCTAGCTCCGCCCTGGCAAGTAGCGTGAATATAAATACGTACACAAAACAACATATATATGTCACTTAATTTTTGTGCTCGAGCTACCTTTCCCAAAGTTCTCGAAGGGATATCTGAGGTTGATAGTTCTATATTATCCATTCTGATGTTTCAAAGAACATCCGCACACTTCTTCATCGTAGGCCGGTTATGTTGCTGAGGAGCCAAACACAAGTCTAATTCAAAAACCTTTACATTACAAATATATTTGCAGAAGACCTCTCCAACCTAGGATCCAAAGTTAGGATTGCATATCCATCGGAAAATTCCTTCATAGCCTGTAGTTAAAATCTAAGAAATCAAGGACATTCCCTCTTGCCTGTCCTAATATAGTTGAGGCATACGAAAAAGAGCTAATTTCCTAAAAATCATCCAGTGGATTTTGCTCATTAGAGAGAGGGATAGTGAAAGGGTAAAGGAGAGGGTCATACCCATCTAGCAGTAATGCGTTCCTTCAGTTCCTGTTTTGACTCAATTGGACCCTGCCTGTGACTAGTTCCACTAGTAATACACCTAATGAATAAACATCACAACTTTGTGTAAGTTGATAGGTATTGGGTACTCGGGGTCTAAACAACCAGCAGTTCCTTTAACTTCTGTGGAGACAGGTGTATCTCCTAATCCACTGTCAGCTGCTAGCAGTGCTAGACCACAGTCAGTCAGTTTAGCTCGTAGGTTCTTAGTAAGGAGAACGTTGGAAGACTTGATATCTCTATGAATGATGGGGTGATCTGCGCGCATATCATGACATATATGGGTGGCGAGGAGACTTGAACTTAGGGGCTTTCTAAAAACTTAAACATTACCTCCTTTTTATTTAAATTTAGTTTTCAACACTGCCGCATAAAGACCTGGGTAAATGTGGAGGTATGTAACTGCATGTGCCACGTCTATTGCAATATCTAGGCTTGCAGCAAAATCAAGAACATTATCATGCACACCTGAACCAGTAGATATGATGTGAGCACTAAATCAATGGCGAAAACACCACTGCTACTCGTAGAATAAGGTTAGAAAGAACTCACACAAGTGTTCGCTAAGGCTTCCATTTGGAACATGCTCAACAACAACAATCATTTCATCTTTTCGTTACAAATACCCATAAAATTTTCCAATATTTAGATGTTATACCAGTGCTAAGGTTTGGATCTCACTTTGAAATTCTGTCACTAAAACCTGTCATTCTGGAAAGTAAGAATAAACTTAAAACAAAAAATAGCAATAATATGACTGTAACTGTGTTAGCCTCCAACCTTTCTAGCACGTTTAACAGCAACCATAGTTCCATCTTTGAGTCGACCCTTGTAGACTGTTCTGAAACCACCTTGTCCAATTTTGTAACTACGAGAAAAATTTTTTGTAGCGCCTTACAAATTTCTTCCATGGTGAATATGGTACTTCCAGATTCTCCTTGGCGTGTTGAATTGCTGGAACCACCATATATGACTCGAAGTGAATCAGTTCTGCTCTCTCCATGAGAACTTATGTTAATAGATAGTAAAAACTCCATAGAGTTGATCTTTTGAACCCGTTTCAAGCCATGATGCCTAATCAACCAATCTTGGGGTAAACAGTCTCGATTGCTTTGCTTATATTTACTTTCATTTCATTCTTGTACATAGGAAATGAGATTCAAATGAAGGGAATTGATATCTCATTTTAAAAGGGTATCAGAAAGAGGAATGGGTTTCCATTGTTTTCCAGGTGGAAAATAGAGTCAAGCATGACCATCAATTATGACGAGTAGACCATTTTAACCTACTAAAATTGTCTCAAAAGAAAAAATGCAATCCTAAATTGATTTATTATCACTAAAAATTACAAGAAATTCACCTCGATCATGAAGAGGAGAATAAGTGAAGCCCGAGGAAGAAGAGATGGTGTTAGAACTTCTGGATTGTGTTTGTTGTACACTCTATAAATACATAACCTCCTCATATGAGGGGAGCCCACGATACGCTGATCGTGAGGCCTCCCATGTTGGGGAGGGGGGTTGTATTCAAAATAAGCCTAGCGCGTATCGTGGGGCCCCCGAGGGTTGTATTCAAAATAACCCTAGCAATATAGTGGATCTTTTCATATCTAAAGTCTTTCAAAGCAGACAAGAAAGGTGGCCTAAAATCCGCATGTGAGCAAATAATGCGTGGAAATTGTGTATTTGTTTCAAAAGTCAAAAAAGACGATTCTATCTCCACCACTTTTATATCCAGCTGCACAGCCCACACCGCACCATTTTTTAAACTCGCACCAATTAAAATATAAATACACTACTATTTTACATAACAAACTCTAATTGAAAAATAAAAATAAAAATAAAAAAGAAGAAGAAGAATGCACACGCCTCTAACTACGGGTGAACGCGATTTGATTTGAACGATTTGTACTATATGTTCAACACAAACCATTTTATGTGGTTTGAAATTTTTCCAAATCAAACTAAACCATTTTATTTTTTGAACCGGACCGAACCATAATTTGTGGTTTGGTTTGATTTTAATCCACGATTTACCTATCGACATTATAGTAATGTATTTAACATAAGTTAAATATAAGTTTAAAAGAGAATTAATAACGTTAAATGTTAAATCACATTCATATTTATCGTGAAACCCATGAATAAATTATTTTCAAAGTAGTTGTTAAAAGACGTTAATAAAACAAATACATATTTCTTCATTTTTATTTTCCTTTTCTTGTTTGACATTCATATTATCATATAGCGGTTGGTAAATGTAGAGTTACATTATGCTATT